GGGTCAGGAAATCGATACTGAATCGAATCGCCATGATGGATGTGATTTACACCCCTAAAAGGGTGTGTAATATTCTGAACAGCTTTTATTCAGCCAGACTTGAAGTAAAATGTCTCTTTGGGTTTTAAAGGTTGCAGACACCTCCACTCAGATTCTGCTCAAGAACATTTGTTGTTTTATCTCTGAGTCTGGAAGGTTTATCATGAGACTCAACCATGCGATGGTTTTGGTTTCTCTATATTGGAAATTTGTTTTTATCTGCAGTGTCCAGGAAGAAGTTGGTAAAAAAGGTAACGCCGACCTCCTCCATCATCCTACTGGATCCTCTGGAGTCTCCTCTGACACGTTTCCTGTCGAGCTTTACTCATCTTGGTGAACTGTTCAGCCCCGCCATGGTAGGAATGTTGCCTAATGCTCATGATTTGGGATTTTGGGAATATCAAGTTTGACTTATTCTTTGTTTTAAAAACATAGAGTGAACTCATGTCTGCGGTTCTTGACACGCCGCTGAACGGTCTGGGCGTGATTCCTTTAGCCAGCTCCATCGAGGGACTGAAAACGTCCAGGAGCTGCAGAGAAGCTCTTGGTGCTGTTGTTAATGCCTGCAGAGGTGAGCACCGACACACCAACACACTTCTGAACACAGATTAGTCTAGGGAATTAAATAATTTTTTATTAGTTATAATGCTGTTAAAAAGTGTGTTTATTCCAGTTAATCCATCACTAAATAGAAAACATGGATTAAATCCAAATAGACTGTTTTCACCTTTGATTGTACGGTTTTCCCCTTAAAGCTATCAGTAACCTAACGCTGAAGGTTTGAGTATGACAATAGAGCCTCAAAAAATAACATTTTGATTAAATAATGTTGGCTTAAAGCAATACTTTAAGCCAACTTAATTTTTTTTAAGCCAAGCTTAATTTGAGATACGATAAATGGCCTATAAATGGCCTTTCAGGTCAATACACTCGGTGCGTATCGATGCTCTCTGCGGGGTTACTTTTCTCGTAAAACTCACCTGTGTAACTTTTCATCTGTCACTGAACCAATCATCTGGACCTGTTTCTGTGGCTCCTGTCAACTTTTGTCACTTGGAAACAAGCTGAGAAAGTAAACGGCCTGTGATTGGCTACTTTCCAGGAAATCCTGCCTCCTGAGACTGGCTAGTAGCATTAGCAAAGCATCTTTAGGGTGATAGTTGTTGTCTTCAATAATTGAATTCATAAATAAAATAAATAAAAATATTTAACATATATGTTTGTTTGTTGTTTTTTTTTGTTTTTTTTTACTTCTTGGCCTAAAACTTGCTGTAATCGTGTCCTTTGGGTTTTTGTTTTTTAGGAGACTTCGATGGCAGTGCTGTTATTCTGGTGTGTGGGATCAAAAATGTTGGCAAATCAACATTTATCCGGATCCTCATCAATACGTTACTGAATCAGTGAGTTCCCACAACCCATACTTTGCTTCTTTCCTTTTTTTTTAAACCATTTTGAATATTTTTTTAAGCTAATAAGCTGCTTATCATGTTTTCTGATGTTAACATGTCCGAAATGAAAGAATAACACTATGTCCTTCTCTGTGTTTATCGCAGTACTTCCAGTGTGGATTATTTGGAAGGCGATCTTGGTCAAACAGAATTCACCCCGGCTGGTTGCTTGTCGTTGTTGACCGTCAAAGAACCACTTCTGGGTGAGATTTTTTTTTTTACAGCTCGATGTTTAGTGATGAATGAACCCAATTAAGACTAGATAAATAATCAGTAATATATCCAATTTACCTTAAAGACTTAGCAGAGACACAATGGATGACGTTGTGTGTGAAATAAATGCAGATATCTATTTTAGTGCAACAGGTGCAAAGAAAAAAATATTCAAAATCTTCTATTTATATCCAACTTATTAATTCAGAGGGCAACGTTGGCAGCTTCCAGCGTGACTGATGTTCAACGGGGAAACAGGGGAGTTGCTCCTTTCTCTCTTATTGCATAAACAGGCTGCAGCTGCTGCATCTGACTCCCCGTCAGTGATCGCACCGTAAACTCATGCTTTCACATTGTTACCAAGGTCTCCAACAAATTGCTACATTTATTGCTAGTCGCTTTTTTTTAAAGAAAAAGTTACTAGATATAGCAAAGTAGTTTAGCTGGTAACAATGTTTTGACTCGTATTCTGTCCTGGCTGACAGATAGCGAACAAACGAGAGAGCCAGTAGCTGTGATTGAGGCTGCTTTACTGAATCTTCTCAGTTATTTTTTGTAAAACTGCAATACAAATGAAATATACAGTGTGTTACAATTTAGATTTAACAGTTCCAATTCTATTAAACACATAAGACAGAATTGTAAAGAAAAATGCAGCACATTCAACAATACAACAAATAAGAAGCTCATCCTGACTAGCCTCATGCTAGCGATTAGCTTCGCGATTAGCGTTAGCATTTTTAGCAGGGTTTAAACTTAAAGGAGAATTCCGGTTTTT